CATTTTACCTTAATCATAACATTAAACCAGGGTAGAAGAACTATTTTTAAAGCCCTAAATAGATATAAGATAACATGAACCTGGAACACACTTCCAGCCTTTGCAGGACTTAACTTAGGTCAATCTAGAGAGAGAATTATTTATTCTACCTATTTTATTCCTCCCAACATTTTGAGAGATGATGACTTTATTTTCTCTGCAATTTATTGCATAATGTGGAGGTTTTGTGACCTAAATGGGTATGTACTTTTGGACAGAATTCCTTAGATTTGATAAACATATGCAAAGGTATCACTTATGTTTTTGCCTTTGATAATATATATTCACTTTAGTGAGGAAACCTGAAACAAAATAAAATGAGAAATGCTGAAGAAATAAAAGTGTAAGTGTTTGAGGACTTGAATCCAAGTGTCATATATAAAACACCAGGTTGGACCATTCACTGCATTGATGAATGAAAGTTGATCTTTTATTAGGCTTTGTGAAGACAGTGCCCCAATTTCATAATGATTTTAGCATTGTTCTCTGTTTATATTTCTGCCTAGTGGAAGTTAACCTTTTCTTCTTGGGTAATTTGTGTACACTGCCTCTTTAATCCTCAATAACCTTAAATTTGCCATTTAACAAATTTAGCACTCAAACCCAAATATCTTTTCCATTGTAGACTATTCATTTTTGCAGATTTTTCCTTTAAAGTGCCACTATTTTCCTCTGATTATTCCATGGCTCTCTTGCTTCTTTTGATATTTAAGTGTCACATGTGACCCATTTATTCAGTGAGTTTCATTTCTTGGCTCCTGTTCATACCTGCAGTATAACCTTCAGTACTCTTTTCAAACTGCTTTATCCAAGGTTACCAAATGGCCTGCCAATTGTCAAAAATTCTGGATTTTCTAAATTTTTCTTTATGTTGCCACATGGCCTGATATAATAGGTAGTGAGGAAGGTAATAGAAAAGGAATGCCTTCTCCATGCAGCATGGTGGTAAATGTTTAACAACCAAGTGGAAAAGCCTCAATTTATAGCCTTTACTAATATCCTTGGTATTAAATATCCCTAACCTGGGTGATTTTAAGACACAGGTACATTAAGTACTTTGATACTGCCTTTTATATAGCAAGATCAGTGCACATAAGTGAGGAATTAACAACTCTATGCTTTTATCAGCCTCATGCTTCCTATTCAGGGGTGAGTCCATACCAACATGAGGTTAGTATTTAAAAAAATCTGAGTGCGGCCTATCTATCAAATGTTTGTGATAGAGATGAGAAGGCTGAAAGAATTTGTTTTTGTGGTTAAGAATAATTCAACAAAAATAGCAAGCCACTGGTGTCCTTTCTGAGGAGACTGTTCGCCACTGGCTTTTGTAACATTAAATACCTTCCTCCATTTTCTGCCACTCAGACTCCAATTTCTCTCCATCCTTTTATTGTTTCTGTGTCTTACTCATATTCTCTAATTATAGACTTAGTTGAAGTTCAAATTTTTCATCCATTTGTACTCTCTTTAGCATTTTCCTGTACTCTCTTGCTTTTCTCCATCACTGGCACATGAATGATGCTCAGCCCTTGACTGCTCTCTGGAGGACATCTTTCCTTTGCAATTTCTTATCAGATATCCCCCTTATTACCTCACATTCAGTAGTGTTGAAGCCAGACTCCTTATCTTTCTTGCACCCAAACAGTACCCATATTCCTTCACATGCTATTAAAAAGTATTAAATGCAAACTGGACACTTCATGAGGTACCTTTGTGATGCTTAAGACATGGGAAATATTGTGCGTATTTTACAGATTCAAAAAATTCAAAGCTCAGATCACTCAGTAGGCAATGAACCTTAGATGTGAACATAAGGCTCTGACACCAAAACCCACTTTATTTCCATTACAGCATTGTGCTGCTCAGTGAATGGAAAGATTGTTTTCTTCTCACACTTATTTAAAGTATGCAAGTAATCATGAGAGTTTTTTGAATTGTTGTTAATTACCAAATCCTATCTGTTCACTCTATGTGCCAGTATTTGTGTTTATATCTGCCTTCTTTCTATGCCAAAACCTTTGATAAGCAAGACTCATACTCTAGTCTTCCTTTTATTCCTAGATGTAACAAAATTCCTTGTAGCAGTAGACACTCAGTGAATCTTTATTTAATAAGTAAAATAATTAAGGAATAATGATGTACTTTGAATAGACTCACCGTGTTACTGTTATAATAGCATTTCTCTATCATCTGTGTTGAGAGACACCAATGATTTTATGTAGCAGTAGATCAAATTGTATACTGAAGAAATATACAGGTTTAGTTTGGTGCAATGAGGAAAAGTATTGCATGCAAAATACATTTATATTTTAGTTCAAAGCATGAAGTTTACCAGTGCCCTTACGTTTTCAATCCAAAGTTATTGTGCCCATTTCTACCTAGTTTATGGTTTAGACCTCATGCGATCTCCAATGAATTTAGGGCATTTCTGATTATTTCAGGTCACTCCTGGGATGTTTCTTTAAAGTTCCAGAAGTCTTACTTACATATTGGCACTCAAAAAATTTTCCACATATCTACCTAAATTTCTCTAAATTACAGGAGCTGGCTGCATTGTTCTGTAATCAGTACCAAATGGCAAGTATGAGAGGATTGTGTTGTACTCTGCATAAGTGCATGGGTTGAGGCATCATTGATATTTCCTGTGTTTATAGTTTGTAATTTATGTATCACCTAGATGTATTTCCTGCCCTCAACAGCACTGAGGTGCTGCTTCATGACTGAGTGCACCTCAGGGCTTTTCTATACATAGTAATTCACAGTGCTGTAGCAAGATGTGTGATACAGAGCTGGTCTACCTAAGAAAGTCACTGGGGCCATTCTAACTGCTTCTGAGTATAAAAGTACTTGAATCTACAGAGCAGTAAACTACCCCCAATTACCCATTTGAAAGTCTTAAGAATTATCTGTTTTCTGCAGTATTTTATGCTGTTCTATTATATCATCATCTTGTTACTGAAATCTTCTGTTTCTGTTTTATCATAAATATTTCCACATGTCTCTTGTCAAATTTGGTGGCAAAGAGACTTAGAACAGTTGCAGAAGCCATTAGCTATGAATTTCATTATTTTAAATAATATATGACAATACAGGACAAATTGCAACATCAGGGACTTTTAAGGGAATATAATGCAGAATATAATTCCTAGAGCTCTCGCAGACAGAATAATCCACTACAGAAGAGTCAAATATGTTTAGTGGGCTTTTGCTTCTGAGCAGGGAGAGCCAAGATTATGTAAGTCTTTAGAAAGACAAATAAGAAGAGACCCCATTCACGTTATTTAAGTGGAAGAAGATAACAAGTCTTCATGAATAGAGTCTGGGGGTAAAGCTTACACAAAAATCTGAAATGATTTCTGTTGCTGCATCGTACACCTTAATATGATAAAACTTTGATAATTGAATTTCATTCTCTACTTTGCAAAACTGAGCTTTGTCAAGGAAGTGAAGAGAAGGTTGTTTGTGATTTCCCAAGGAACGCCAGTTTATACAAATAAGTCCAAATTACTCTTTGAGCCTTTTCATGTGACTCAAAGCAAAGCATAATGGAACCTCTTATGTAGTTAAGTCTTTAACTCTTTCTTCTTCAATCATAGACTGTATAGTGATATTGGAGGAGGATGAAAAGTTATATCCCATGGCTCCACTTCATATGATACCACTGATAATAGAGGATCTATTTTGAGAGGCCACTTCTACATAATATTTAGCTCAGAGTCTGTTCTCCTACCTTTTGCACATGAGAAAATCATAACTGGATTAATTTAGTGATCCAAATAAGTAGTGAAGAATAAAATTTGTATCTCAAATATTCCAATTATAATTGCTTGCTCATTTTGTTAGAAAGTTTGTTTAAATCCTTGTGTACATTGTGTGAAAGTGTGTGTGTGTGTGTATTTTTCCATTTGTTTTATTTGGTCTGCCTTTGTCTCTATTCTCCCTGAGCCTCGTTGCCTTGGTTACCATTACATACGTGCTTGTGTGTGCAAGTCTCCTTTGACGTACATCCATTTCTATGGAAACAATGATGTCACTGTGTGGGTAGGTGCTTGGGGAAAGCAAAGTGAAAAATCATTGGATATTGATTTCTTTTGGTCATAAAATGTATCATTAAAGTAATTTTTGACTTAAGGAGCTATATTTTTGTTTTTGTTTTGACTTTGATCATCCAGTTACATTTTTCTTTGTTTATAGACTTGCTTCAGTAGAATGAATTAAAAATACAAAATATACTCTACAGCTTCTTATTGTGTGATATGTAGTGTCATAAATTCACCACAGATAAATATGCATAGCAATTTACTTTTCTTTCTTTTCAGTGGCACTGGGATTTGAATTGAGAGCCTTGCACTTTCTAGGCAGGTGCTCTACCACTTAAGACACATCCCCAGATCTTTTCTTCTTTAGTTATTTTTTAGATAGGTGCCATGGGCTAGCCTTGCACCATGGCCTCCTACTTATGCCTCCCATGGAGCTGGGATCATGGATATGCTCCTCTATACCCAGCTTCTTTGTTGCAATGTGGCCTTCCTAACTTTTTGCCTGGGCTGTTCTCAAACTATGATCCACCTATTCTCTGCTTCCTGAGTAGCTGGGGGCAGTACTACCATGCCCAACAAAGGGTTCTTATTTTAACCTTAAAAGACTCCCAGAGAGTAAAGAGTTTATCCTAATAATATTTGTTACTTTCAAAAACTGTGAAAGGGATTTTATATTCACATGCAGGCAATGAACAATAGGTGATGGATCAGAAATATAAAGGTCACACTTATAGTCATTATTTAAAAAATCTCTAGTTTTAGCTATTAAAGCATTTTTTTCTATAACATCAAATAAGTCTAAGTATAATTGGTATTACACTTTCTTTGAAGTCTTAAGAGACTTTTAAATCTTTTTAAAACAGCTATCTTCTTCTCTCTTCTATTTCCACACTGTTCCAGTCCAATATTTTGTCTTTTCAGATGATGTGGAAGCCTGCCTATGATTTTCTCTATACTTGGAGTGCTCACTATGGAAATAGCTACAGAGACGTGTTACAAGACCTTCAGTCATCACTGGACAGAATGAAAAACCCTGTGACAAAACAGTGGAGAGACTTAACTGGAACCTTGATACTAGTAAATTCTTTGGAGGTTTTGAGAGTAACTGCATTCTCTACTTCTGAGGAAGTATAGAAATGACAATATGTTTAGGGGGGCAGGGAGAAAAGTAGGGGGAGAATGTTGTGAGTGTGTGTGTGAGAGAGAGAAAGAAAATATATCCCAGAAAGGCATTAGTATAACTTTTTTTCATGTTTGAAAAAACTGGTTTGTTACCAGCCTCACAATCTATAGCCTCACAATCTATAGCCTCACAATCTATCCAAAATTGGGTTTTATAATCAAACACTTTTTTGTCCATGCTTCAAAGACAAATAGTAAACAGCTTTGTTGTTGAGAGGAAAGATATCCCTTCACTCTCTTTCGAAGTTACTGTGAATTTTTTAAGTTAAAGTAAATTACTATTAGAATAATTACATCCCTACACAGATGCATGAATAAACTAAAGCTCTCAGTATGAGCAACTGACATGCTCTGGCCTTCACAGGAGGTCCCTCACACTTTCTCTATGTGATCTCTTATATTACTAATGTAGTTGGTCAGCATTGCTCCCGTTTTTCATGTGGAGAAGCCAAGGACTGCAGAGGACCTCCCAGGCCAGTGGAAAGTAGGCTTTCTTCCTGAAAAGCCTGGTTTTATTTATTGATAACATTGCACAATAGTAAAAAGATAAAACATAAAATGCTTACTCAAGCTTAGAGGGAAACTGTAGTTATTCCATTGAAAATGATAACTTGATCCTTTTTTTTTTTTTTTACAATCTCCTGAAAGACTACCAGAAGGAAAATTTGACTTATTGTCAAAAATCTGCTCTCTGCATACATGGACCTGGTGTTTGCATCAGTGTCCTTCAGCATCTTGTGACTATCTAATGTAATTAGGATTATTAAATCAACAACCATCACCAAAAACCTTATTTATCACTGCTGAATATAGTGGTTTTGACCACCAAAAATATTGGTATTTTTGTGTGTGCATTCACATAAACAAATGCAGTACATGTGTATGTGTATACACACTCATGTGTGCATGCATACCAGAATATTTTACAAGGCTTATGGAAAACAAAGATAATATAAGAAGTTGGGTTAGTGTAAATGTTAATGGCTGTCAGAGTTCACAAAAACATGATGTGTGCTTACCCATGTGTTCAATCTTCTGGCAGCCTATCAATATTTATGTCTTTGAACCTTCATTCATACAATGTTGTTCACTTGACAAATAGAGTATGTATGAATTCTATGGCAGGCACATAAGTGCTTGAAGTTATTAATGGGGGAAAGCCATGATCTCTCACTTCTGTGCTTCTAAGTGACAGAAATAGACAATAAAAAAATGGTACCATTAAATGTAAAATGACCTCTAGAATGAGGCATGGTTCAGATAAGTTTTCCCCCAGGAGGAGCTATAGTGATAAGCCTGAAGGAAGATCAGTCATTGCACCTGATATCAAGAGGGGCAAGAGGAAGTGATGAATGTCCTGAAGCCCTCAGGCAGGAGAGAGATAGGGAGATAGGGAGAGCAGGAAACTGGACAAAGGAGTAAAAGGATGAGGTTGAAGAGGTGTAAGGTAGAAAGAATGAGGTAAGGGTGGAGGGGAAGAGGCCATATTAGTGCCATTAAAACCATTAAGATTAAGGAAGGAATGACACACCCTTAAAGGCAATGTAGATGAGCTAAATAAAAATTTTGTTTTGGATACTGAATAAAACATGTCCACTTGGCTAAAAAAGTAAAAACAGAATGTTTTTAGAGCTTTTAATACACACAGTGTGGGTTATTCAGTATGCTGGCAAAGGTAATTTGAATTAGAGTTTTAAAACAATCCTGAAGACTTTCAATACTTATGTTCGATGATCAGAGGACAACCTGATCAAGGAGTTACATACACACATTTAATGACAGAATTTATTTTAATTGAAAATAAATTCAGAGAGAGAAAAGAAACCAATTTGACAAGACACAAACAATTTTAGTGGCGACTTTGCTTTCTTTAGAACATTCTTGGAATCTTACTAACATGTCAGCAAACTAGAGAATTTCGGGAAAGGATAGTAAGGAATTAATAAGTGGGTTTTTCCAGGCTGTAAGACATAAGAAGACAGAGAACTTGTTAGCTGATTAGTCTTGTAAGATTAGATAAATCATTCCAGGTTTGCACCTCTCATCATATTTTGAGATTGTGTTGGGGATTTTAAAAATACTTTTTAAAAAATGAAAAACATGTCTGTAGTTTTGAGGATGCAACAATGGTTTAAATATTAATATATACAAATATATTTTATATTATAATGAATTTTTCCAGGGGAATTTTAAACCCATGTCCAGTCTGTTCTCATAAATTTATTCTTGTACTTATTATAAGTTGTTTCTACTTTTCTAAATTTTATATTTTTCTTGCTAGAATGGATTTTCATAATCAAAAAAAGATTAGATTGATTATTGTGAATTGCCTTTAATTTTTGGCAGAAAGTCAATGGAATTAATAAGGCATTTGCATCCTATCCTTGACATCATTAAACATATCAAAAGCTATTACTAAAACTCTTTTGAGCATTTCAAAAGTGGAAAACATTTAGATAGTTCTTTCTGTTCTTCAGGTTTTCTTCTAATGATGCATGAATTAGGATGGGATTTTACTTCAACCCCTGGCTTGCAATGAGATAATTTTTTTTGTAAGCCACAGACTATCTGCTTTTTCCTATGGAAGTCCACCTGAAACTGATTTGTTCAATATTGTGTCATTAAATGTTCATACCAATAATGGAAATGGTACACTTTGATGTCCTCTGTTGTAGAATATAACTGGGAATAGTCAGGTGTCTGGAGGGAGCAGAATGCTAAATCAATGGATGGCATTGGGCTGAGAAACATAAATACAGATTTGAATATGTGATAAGAACATACAATAGAAAAACGTTGAAAAATAGACAATATCATAACTAGGGGTTTCAAAACTCAAATTTTAATACTATACTACTGTAAATTATATTTTGGTGACATTTTAATGCCTAAGGAATACTTAATAAAAATTATGTTACTGGAGATTTTTCTAATTAAGTTAGGTCTGCTTTTTCTGTTTATACACACATATTTCCCTTCTCCCCTTTCTATAGGAAGTTTACTCCCATATGGTGCTGTATGGCATAGTGGGAGTAAAGTATAATCATTTAATCCAAAGATTAGATGTCATCATCATTCTAGGTGGGAGAATCCAAAGACATTTTCAGAATAAAAGAATATATTGGAGGTTGGTTTCTTGTGTGTATATTTATTGGTTCACAAAACAAAATAAAAAGTGACTGCTTATGCACAGATACATGAATTTGTACATATGTAGCATCTGATATGTATTTGATATTCAATATCATGAGTTCACTAAATGTAAAATATACATGTAGTATATTCTACACTGGTTTTCTATTTATGGTATAAATAGCTTTGCGATTTTGAATAATGAGGATGGTCTGTACAGAAAGGATAAAGGAGGAAATAGGGATGGAGAGATTAGTATTGTATAATAATTAGTAATGACAAAGGGGAAGGTTCCAGAGCAAGCACTGCTGAACAGCATGAATGGCTCCTCTGGGAGGCACAGGAGAGAGCTCTGGCTTCTAATCCCAGTAAAACTTTAGACCTGTCACTTAGCCTTTCCACTTCAGTTTACTCATTAGTAAAAGGAACTTGAACCAGGTAACTTCTAAAGTTCCCCTTAAGTTTAATTGTGTACAAATGTATAATGACTAGAATAAATTACCCTTCTGCTTGTTTATTTTTCTACGAGGGAAGAAAATGTGATGCAAGAGTAACAATTTGAATGCCAATTATCCACATTAAAATTATACCCTCTGTGTGTGAGTCATAGCACATAGTGTACGTTTTGTTAGCCAGACTGTCTGTCACTGTAACAAATACCTGAGAGAAGCAACAGAAAGGGAAGAATGGCTTACTTTGGCTCACAGTTTCAGAGATTTCAGTCCATGATCACGAGGCTCTGTGTTTCTAGGCCTGTGGGTACAGATCACCATAGCGGAAGGGCGTGGTGGAGGAATTGTCTCATCTCATGGTAGTCAGGAAGCAGAAAGAGAGGAATGGACGGGGACGGGGTATAACCTTCGAAGGCACACTGTCAGTGACCTACTTCTTCCAGCAAAGTCCAAACTCCTGAAGTTTCCAGAACCAACTCGAGCAGCGATCCAAGTCTTCAACACACAAGTCTCAGAGATTCAAACTGCAGCACACATATACATAAGCACATTAAACTCTTTACAAATAATATCTCTATTCTTTGTATAGTATTAGGAAGTTGATTATGAAAGGTATACTATTTTGAATATTTGCAAACCCCCTTTTTAGGATAGTTTTGATGTTATTCATAACTAACTTTAGTATGGTGTTCGAGTAGAGCTGGAAGGTCAGCAATGGTTTTACTAGGACCTCATCCAGGTAGATACCCTGCCAAGCATGCTATATTCTTGTTGCAAAGGCCTTTGAGCAAACAGTCTTCATGGTAGTAGTTCTTCATCCTCAGCAGCAGCAGGAATACCTGGAATACTTGTTGGAACAGACTGCTGGCTCCACCACCAGAGCTTTTTAGATTTGATAGGCCTGGAGTGGTTCCCGGCAATTTGCATACCTAATAATTTCCCATGTAATACAGATGCTGCTGGAGAACTACTGAATTAAAATTTCCTTCATCTCTAGAAACTAAACAGTGTTTGTTAAACTAGAAAAAAAAAACTTTTTTGTAAATATTTTTGTAAAAATTTTAAGTAAAGTTTCATGTCATTCTATTAAAGAAATTATTTTTTAAATTACAGAAGAGAGCTAAAAATCACTTTATATATCTCTTTATTTACATAAAATGAACATCACAAGTTACTAAAAACCTACAAAATAATTTTAATTGCAAAACTAATTAAAATAATGAAGATTTCCATGTCTTATTTAAAATGTAAGTATATTTGAATAAAAGTAGTTTAAGAATAATGTGGAATATTTAGCATGTATGCTAAAATGATTTTTAAAAATATATGCTGATGATATTCTTGCTTCTGTAAAATATCTTTGGAAGTAGACTTGTTGTTTCCAATCTATCTTTTG